ATATTCAGATGCTACTGAAAGAGTAGAAAAGCCTACATCTCCTCTTTCCCCCTCTTCTGACAAGGCCCTCCATGTTCTCATGGATCATCCATGGTGGTGGTAAATAGAAAAGAGAAAGGTCTCATTAGCATGAGTTCATTCAAGATATCCTTAAATATCTATTGAGTCCCTACTTTTTTTCCTGAATTATTCTAGGTGTTAGAGATAGACGTAGAGATGGCTTTATGGACATATGACCTGTGCAGATGCAAAGGCCCCATGATTAAAAGGGTCTCATCCCTGGTTTAATGTTCTGCTGTTACCATCTAGAAAGTATTAATATTTTTTTTTTTAACAAGGGACCTTGTGTTTTCATTTTTCACTAGGCCCCACAAATTATGTAGCTTAAATTAAGGTCCCTGCTATCAAGGATTTGTCAGGGTACCTGGTGATGGACAAACAGTGCTCCACATGTGAAAACATGATGCTAAGCCCTTTGGGTGTCAAATCTAAGATTAGCTAGTGGAGAGAGTGATACCACATCTGAGTATATTCTAATGGCATCATAAACTGATTCGGAGTTTCTCATCTTATCAATTATCATAGTTTTCTACTTTATGTTCATGTCAAGCTTTAGTCTTAAACTCAAGCAGCATCACCCAAGTTGCAACCAGAATTGCCGATTGGCTATTTAAAAAAAGTTTTCAGGGTTAATGGCTATCATAAACTCTCTATCAAATATAGACAATTATCTCAGCATTTAGGGCAGAAAGAACTCTGGACTCATTGCATCAAGAGCAGTATTTTGATAGCAAAATATGTTGCAAATCCAATCTTAGATATCTCTTTCAGAGAACAATAATTATGTGATGCTTATCTTCTGAGAAAAGTCTATTCATTTACACCTCCTTCTGAAGAATTAGTTTCTCAATTTTTTCATCATGGTGACATAGTAGATTATATAAATGTGATCTGGCTCCTTAAATTTGCATGGTTTTCAGTCAATCAAACATAGAACAAGCATATAGTTTTTTAAAACTCCATGTTATTTCTCAAAGGAATAAACTCAGAACTGAAGTGATTAGTGGCAGTTTAATGCAGTTCAGTTAATTTGTACTCAAAAGTAGCTGTTGCTTTTAGTTCCATTCCCAGATTAGTCAGATAGACATACAGCCACTTTAAACAACATCGTGCCATTAACAGTGACTTTAATTACTGTTTGGTAATCTTATCTACTTATACCAGTATTAATGAAATCATCTGTCGTGGGGGAAACATGAGGAAGTTGATTGAAAAAAAATAAATCATCATCTTTACTGTGGCTAATTTTCTCAGGCCCTTCTTTACTGAGGAGAGAAGTTGATCACACCGTTAATTCTAAATAAAAGAGCTTATTTTCCCTGTCTTAGTGCCTCTTGTTGAAATCAGCTGATTGCTCAATGAAAATCTCTTTATTCTTTAATGATGTTGTAACTGCCTAAGCATCCTAATGAATATTCAAATTCCAATCTGTACTTGGAACCAGTGGGAAAGTTTTACAGAAACTTCATGAAACAAAGCAGCTCTCGTGATGCCAAGGAGTTATGACTAAGGGAGGCCTCACGCATTGAATCAAGTGTGCTATTACCCTCACTCCCATGAACCTGTCCTTCAGCACAATCCATGACAGCAAGAAGACAAAGGCTTTGTTACAACAGAACAGGGCAGAGACATCCGTGGCTGTCAGCTTCTTTAAAGCCAATAAATACAGGTAGTTCGTCAAAGTCCATAGAATAGAAAAGGGAGCAGTTCTTTTGAGAAAGAGTTTCAATGTCAGACCATCTTCCCCAAAAATCCGACTGCATTCCCTAGAAAAGAAAAAGAGGTTAATAGTCAGGTATTATTTGCGTCACATCTTGTGTTTCCTAACTCCTGACAGCTATTATCAGGCAAGAGCACAAACACCGAAGACTTGTCATTCATCTGTGGAACATACTAAACCCAGTCCTGCCACCTACAGACCACAAAGGGCTCCACGGAGGTGCAAAGGGTTCCATGGCAAAGAGCCTGCATCTCCCCAGGGACAGAGCGAGGCCTCTCCTATCTAGTTATGTTCTCGAGATAACAGGGGCAGCCATTCTGCCCTTGCTGAACATTCTCAGAGAAGCCTGGAGAAATACAGAATGAGTGGTTGCTGGAATTACTAGCTATTAAAGAGAGAGAAGATTCTTTCCAAATGGGCAAATGCAGCAGGATCAAGATGGCTGCTACCATGTGATCTGGCCGTAGACAACTTGCAGCCTCACATATCATGTGAAGCCTCACACAGCTTGAGATGTTACTATTCTTGACACTATGTCTCTTTGTAATATATCTGCCCAAATGACTAATTTTTTCCCCCTCTGGCATTTTAAAGCAGAAAAACAAAACAAAACAAAACAACAACAAAAAAACAAAGAAACCTTTTGTAATAACCCCAAAATAGTAAAAAATATAAATTTGTCATATACAAATATTGGGCTGTTTGGAGGAATTATTTTAATTCATTTGTAAAAATAGTCACTTCAGTTAAATCTTTGATTTGTTTGATTTCTGACTAAATTGGTTATTTAGCCCAAGGGGACATTTTAATCAAAATGTTCAATTTAATGATACAGGTAGGCACTAATAGAAGTGATAGAGTAAGTGCTTATTTGACTATAGACTGAAAACAGGCTTGCCACTGGAAGAATTTAGCTTGATTTTTTTCACTCAGTTCACAAAT